GACAGATCCCAAGGACCCAGCGACAGGTCTCAAGGAGCCTGCGACAGATCCCAAGGACCCAGCGACAGGTCTCAAGGAGCCTGCAGCACCTGCTGGAAATGACCCAGCAACAGTAGAAGTAGAAACTCCTGGAGAGGATCAGAAACCAGCCACTGAACCAAAATCATCTACAGAGCATAAAGGAGATTCTTCAGTCGCCATCATTGATTTCTCTGCTAGCAAAGTGCAGCAAAATTCTGTCAGTAACTTGGATGCACAGTCAGATGAGGATGTCATAAGTCCAGATAGTGATGAGGCAACAGAGAACCTTGCCACCACTAAAACCATCATGGTCGCCACTGTAGAAGTTCCCGTAGGCTCTGATAAAGTCAGTGAACCAGTAGAACCTGATACAGAAGAGACAGAAGTAACTGACTCTGACTTCCAACAATCCAACATCGATTCAAACTTGCTAGAGACCACTGACAAGGACCAAGGAACTCGCTTTCTGGGTGGTTACGATGACGATGATGAAGAGGACGACGAAAACTATGAGGCGAATGAAGACAGTGATGACTCTGATGCTGCATTTGTAAGCAATGACAACAGCAAAGACCAAACGGAAAACAGGCGGCAGCAGCAGGCTGATAAGATGGAGGTGACCCTTTATAAGGGACCCAACAGCTACAACACAGAGGACGAGGACTCCCACTTCTTCTTTCATCTGGTCATCCTGGCCTTCCTGGTGGCCATTGTCTACATCACCTACCACAACAAGAGGAAGGTTAGTGCTGGCATGACAACAGCTGGGGGACTGCTCAGGACGTAGGACAAAGATTATGATGCAGCTCAAGTCTTGTGTGCACGAGGCTCATGAAACAAGAACTTGTTATTGTGTGATTGCAACGCCCAATGATGTTTTTCCCCTTATTTTTGCAAACAAAGATAAGATATGCCTTTATTTATCTCACAGTGGAGAAATTCACAGTGATGTAGGCAGCAGTACACATACTAGACAGAAAAATGTACATGTAAAAACCAGCACAAACATAAGTTTAAAATACACATATAACAAGAATAGTGCAAGCACAGAATATAACATAAAAAACTAGTCGTATTTCTATTAATTAACTAATAGAAAATTAATTACCAATACTTACAGGAGTATCTCAAGTTCATAGTTTTGCAAATCTGCTTTGTTACATATTGTTTTAAAGTTAAATTGTTGTAAACTGTTGTTGAGAAAGATTAAGCATTTTGACATTCAGAGCCTAAGATGTTACCAGCTTGCTGTGTGTAATGGGACATTTTAAAATGTTTTTCACATGTTGTAGACTAAACTATTAATTGAAAGAAGGAGCAATAGAATGATAAAACACAGTCCTGTAAAACATGACTTGATTTTCTTTGAGGTAAAACAATCCCAGGAGTTCCAGCTTGATAAGACACACTAATGCCTTGTTGTGTCTTGATTTACACATTCAGGAAAGCAGAAATGTGTGCCTAATGTTTCCATTATCTATTTATTGGATTGTTTTATAAATGTGTTAAACTCCAGGTTTGGGTTGGGAAACAGGATTTTACTGACCCATTTAATGCACTGTTTTTTTTTCTCCTGCACAACCTCACAAATTACATGCAGTGCTTTACACAGCCTGATGTTGCAAAACATTAGACATTCTCAGATGAACACCCTCAGCACTGCACTCCTTAATAGGTTTGAAAGAAAATGCTCTGTGATTTGTTCTGTTCACCATCTGCAATAGGATAAACTGTGATCATGTGTAACAGAGACAGAAGTTCTGTCTCTCTTAAGTCTGTAGAAGAAGGTGTTTTATCGTATATTATGCTTCCGCATATCACTTTGGATTTTACTGGTTAAAAAAAAAAAGGATTCCAATTATGTCGTCTTTTCATCTTTTCTGCTAGGCTGTCATCCGAGAGACAATTTTACTTGATCAGCACATGGACATCACTCAGATTAATTTGATTTCTATCTTCTTTTCTCCCCTCTTTTTTTTTTTTTTTTTAGATCTTCCTTCTTGCACAGAGCCGTCGCTGGAAAGACAGTTTATGTTCACGCAACACCGTGGAGTATCATCGCCTGGACCAGAACGTCAACGAGGCCATGCCGTCCCTCAAGATGACCCGAGACTACATTTTTTGATCCGTGCTCAGATGAAGAATATGTCCAAACCTGCACAGAGCCAGCTGGCCCTCCTGCCTGGTCATTCACATTGTCAAGATGCTGTGCTTTGTTGTGGAGCTTAACTGATGCTTTCTCTTGATTTACAGGCCAGTCAGTGAGCAGGAGATGTAATTTCTCTGAAACAGAATTATTTTTGTTGAGGACTTTCTTTTGTCTGCATAGAGATTTTCTTGTTTCTGGGTAATTCTTATTTGTTATATTATTTGAATGTTTTTGCCTTTATTCTAAATTAATAACTTCTTGCAAATTAATTTCAGTTTGTTAGTGATCTTTGTATTTGTCTTTTTTGGGGTTGGTTCAGCCTTAAGGTCCCTTTACGTCTTTTTTTGTTGTCCTTGCGTACTGTCTTAATATTTTTAATAATCAATTTAAGAGTTGGAAGAATTACACAATGTACCTTTTAGATCATAATATAATACCTGATTATTTACCCCAAGATTAATGATAGATTTCTCTCTCAGCAGTTAGCCAAGATAAGAATTGATACACAAAGCTTTGCTTTCTAAAGCACTTCATGTATCATGCATACTTTTATATTGTTAAGGTGTAAGTAACATGGCAGCAATCTAGGAGAAGCTGATATACACATGTGCGCTTACATTTATTTACAAATATGCAGAGTCATTCCAAAAACTGTTCATCAATCTGCTTTAAAACGGTCTCTGTTCAGTAAAAAGGCAAGAAAAGTGCTAGAAACTGAAAAATATTATTTTATATAAAACTTACAACATTCAAATTTTTCTTCTCTGACAGAAATCCAGTTTTCACAGAAATTTTAAAAAAAATGTAGTTGAACTGTCTTTCAGCTGTTTCACCATCAACTGTTTCTTATGACACCTTTGCTGAAAATCTATAATGGCCTTGTCATTTTGATTCAGAAAATTGGACAAACAAAGCTACACATTAAACATCAAGTCAAGGAGGATGACGACTCCTTCGGTGACGGGTACTGTCATGCGCTGAAGCCATTCAAATAAAGACAGATGCTGTATATTGTTCAGGTTAGAATGTACTAATATAATATATAGAGGAAGCTTTTATTGCCAGATTTTTTTCTTTGTTCATCAGTGTAACATGTCTTAATAATGTACCTCTTCTCTGCCCAGATTTTGCTATGCAGAAATCCTGCGGCTGGCCCTCTTTGTTTTATGACTTCGGTGAAGTCTCTATCAACACATCCTCATTGTGGCAAAATGTAATGACAGCATCCCATCGCGTTCAAACAGTAGTTTACATTTTAGTTCCCTCCTGTTAAGGCATTTTGGTGGACTGTTGTGTGCATTTGTCGGAAACTTTGCACCCTCTTGTTCACATGAGCATCAAAAACACAAACAAGAATAGACTAAATTGTTTTGTCACGCTCTTCTCAATTCATCACATTTTGTTTTTGCTGCCGCCTCATGCCTTCAGTCGAATTGCCACACGAGTCTACATATCTGTTATCAATCTCTTGTCGCCGCCTTGTTTTCAGCCGTCTGTCCATATACAAGATAAACATTGGGTGGATTGATTTGCACTGTGCTCTTCAGCCATGCTAGTTAAAAGATGAGGGGAGAAGGTGCCCTGCGTGAAGCTGATGCATCAACACTGCTCTTGCAATCAACAGTAGAAACTGTACAATCTCTCTCCTTTCTTTTTGTCAATAAAGCACAAATTGTGTAAATCTTCCCTTTGTAAGTTGTGTGATTGATGCTTTATTTGACCAGTGCAAGTGATAAATTGAAAACACTCTGGTGTTACTGTCACAGAGTTGTCTGTGTTCTAGCTTTTTTTTGTAGTAAATGTCCAGTTTAACTGTGTTATCTCCACTAACAACACTGGATACTTTGCTCCCTACACAGCCACTTTGATCTTGTTTTATCTTAATAGACTTGTGGGTTTTATTCTTTCGTTGCAGCAGTCACTAGCTGAGCTGAAATGTTGTGGTTAAAAGCTATTTTGTGAGAAACGCAGATTAAAGGTTTACACTGTGGAATGAAAATCTTCATTTAGCAGAAGAGAAACATTTTCTAACATTCAAAAACATAAAATAAAAGCAGTTTTTGCACCATAGGTCAAAGCATCATTTTGGCATATAATGGCAGCTGCTGAAAAAGAAAAAGAAATAACCTCACCACAAGGAGGCACTATGCACACACGAATGAATGCATCAGACGAACCCTGGAAAAGTGTTTCTCACCAGATTTTCTGCTGTGTCTTTTAACAAATTGAATGATGGCAGAGTGGCACCACATACCGAATAAGAGACAAGGCAGCGAGCCCGTATGAGTGTTTGTAACTGACTCCACATCAAAACGTTGCCGGAGCAAAATAAAATAGTGATTTCGCGATTGGTTTTTGCACCGATTTCCCTCTCAGTGTGACACAAGTAACATATCAGCATAATAAAGGAGCTGAAAAAAGCTTCCGAGGCTTTTCTACTTTTTCTAACAATGTGAAGAGGGAACCATGTGGCCCACGATTGCGGGGGACCTCGCAGAAACACCAAAGGGAGAAAAGCCGAGCACCTGTCATATTCAGAATCCTAAATGTCACACAAAACTGCTGCAATGGGTATTTAGGACAGCAATAAGTATGAAAAATAATGTTTATTGTAGCACGTAGGCCTTTTAAAGCTGGTTAACAGCAGAGAGTGACCAGACAGATGGAAGCAGGGAGGAAGAAAGACAAAGTTGGACATCCATATCTTTGTCTAGTTTTGATTCATGGCTGCCACGGTCTGCTCTTGCAGCAGAGTTAGTCAACACTGAAACATATCACCTGGTCAGAAACCAACGAATCCCTCCAAAATCATCTGACCGTAATTCGAACTTCTACACGGAGCAGAAGCGTATACAGCGCACAGAAAAATAGACTTATCACCTCAAAAGTATGAACAGTTTAGGAATCTTTATCGTGTGTGGCTGAAATTAGAATCAGCAGACAATATTATCTCCTGGCTCAGAGCACAATTTTTCAAAGAGGGGATAATCTTAAACTATTCAAAAGCACCGAAAGCAATAAAGACAAGGAAACAAGATACACTGGATGCCTCCTGAGCATGATTTTGTAGTTATGTGGGGCAAAAATAGAAGTTAATCCTCATTATGAAACAGCTTTTTATTCTTTAAAAGTATATCATGAGAACAACGAGACCAGAAAGTATAGCTTTTGGCTTGAATCTATCAGAGAAAATGAGATTAAGTCTGGTTGGATGATTGGTATACATTTTTTTTAAATATGGCATTGCTGTTTCTGCAGTTTAGCCAGAAAGTTATGTGAAAGGTGACATGTTGGGGCCCTTTGCATCCTATCAAAGCTTCCTCTTTCAAGACACTGAACTCGCACCGGCTTACGCATCTCAAACCTTGTTACATAAAAGCATCCGTCAGGTGCCTGAAATGTAAAAAAAAGAAAAAGCAGGCAAGAGACAGCTGCTGGCTGCATGTCATCAGCAGATAAGATAACCAGGCTTTGTGGATATTTGTACAACGGTGTGCTGTGGGAATCTATCCGAGAGACAGCAGCAAATGAAATCTACCAGCCAGAAAATCTCACAACTACTTTTGATCACTCGAGGGTGAAAATCTTGACAATGGTTATCCGGTGGCTTTTGAAAAGGGGTTTTCAAACTTTCATAAGAAATTTTCTCGAGATAACATCCTTTCACTTGAAGTTCCTGAAAATATAAAAAGGGTGACGCTCACTTTGGAGGTGGATTCATTACGACATTTTCTTACCAAAGCAGTTAATGTAAATGGATCTTTTAAAAACTCTCTTCAGCCATGAACTCCCTTTTAGAATGGATGAAAGAGGTTGCACACGGAAGAAAAACTTCAAATTTTGTCCAAAATAATTCTTTTGTGAATCATCATCATGCTCACACAGAAACACACTGACATTAGGCCTGTGCTTACAGTATCCATATGATGCATGTTCTGACTGAATATAGTAAAATCATAGAAGAAAACAACAGATTTTCACAAATGGTTTGATCAAAATCAGCAGAGATTCTTATGTATAGTTTTTCTATCTAATATCTTCAGATGTTGCAGATCATCGCACACAAACAGTCAAAACCTATTAAGTGCATGCAAATATATTCGTCACCAAACAAGCCAAAGCCCCACTAAGGGTCTAAACAGCAGCACACTTACTGCTCACAAACTTCTTCCCAGGCTCAGTACAAAACAGGCAACCTACGGTAATGCTAGCTCTATTGGAATAATTCACACAGCTGGAATACATCTTCGACCAGCTACACTGCCTGTGTGAAACCATCCATCAAGGACAGTTCTGACAGATATCGACCGATCTGGCCTCTGTGTAATAATTTCTGTATTTTCAGCATTGCCTGGATTAGGTCGGCCCGCTTTTTATAACCCCATTCCGGCCGGTATCTGTTTTTCTTTTTTTTTTGTTTTTTTGTTTTCCACAGACGTCAATATATTGAGCGGCAGGAGACCTGGAGGTGTAGCAGATAAAACAGTTGGGTTAAGGCCAGAGCTTATCAAAGCACAAGCTGTTGTGATCAGATCATGTGGTCTGGCCTATTAGCTGTCTCCTCAATGGAAGAGGTCAAGGGGAACACAAACGCTGATGAGTTCTGCTTGAGAAAAGGGCAACTTTGCATTTCAACCCGGTGCATGTTTCTGTGTAAGTTGGGTGTGTAAGATGTAGTGTTATACAGGACTGTGGAAACTGAAAAGGTAAAGACCAAAGTATGGGATAACGCAATTAAGTCAGGCTGGCAGGGTTTATAGCATCTGATCCTGCACAAAGTACAATGCTGTCACTGCAGTGCTTCGTGTTATTTTTGTTATTTATGGTACAACAGAACCATTTTTATGAGGACTTTGTGAAATTATTTTTATGAAAGGAAAGTAAATTAATATTTCCTCTCATCAGCTCGGATCAAAATGCCCTTGACCCCCAACTGATCCCATTTAAAGAGTCAGCAGTATACCGCTAATACAGGGTCCTAGTGTAAAGCTGCTTGTGTTTTTCAGGTGGTTTTGAAAAACACCGTCTCCTCTCAACCTCTGATTGATGAGGATAAAAAACAGAAATAAAAAAAAAAAACACTACATAATGTAATAATACACTAAAAGATCTCTGACATTTTTCATTATGCCATTTATAGTTGTTGACGTCTTAAAAACAAACAAATTTATTACTATTACGATGCAAAAATATGTGCATAGAGAGCGAGCTC